AACGAATTGTCTCCTTATACCTATATACAGGGATGGCAAGGGGCTGATACCGGGTCAAATTCAGATACTTGTAGTGCTTGCATTCAAAAAGTACATTTATGATGTGTTAAATTGGTTTTAAACCCATACATATATGCAATAGGAAGAAGGGTCAGCCGCACACCGGAGGATAGATGAATATAGTGTCTATTTATTGATCCATAGGACACAAAACACCAGGACATGAAGACAGGACCCGTTAACGCGTTTCACACGATCTTGTGCTTAATCATAACATTGACCCTTCTTCCTAATGCATCGTGTGTGTGATGGTGAGCCAGAGCCTGCACCTGTTGTGGATTGATCTGGATTGTTTGCCTGAGTGGTATACCTCTGTTCTTTGGATTCAAACCCTTACATATACCCACTGAAGTGACAAGCCTCAGGTGATACGGAGATGAAACAAATCCTCCTACATAAGTTGTACCTTTTTACCCTCTCTTCCGTACTTGTTTATCTGAAACCCTCTCTTCTGTACAGTCATTCAAAGTACACAGATAAAAGGCTATTCTCTCAGCTTCAGTGGGCACACACTGATGTCACACACTGCACAACATAGAACAGGGAGTGTAATCTGTGACCTGAATGGAGGGAATGGACACATACCCCTCCACACAGTTTCATAGAGAAACATGCACAGTTGGGACTATCCATCACCTTCTGTGTGTGCTTGAGGAGGGCTACTTCATCCCCCAGATTCTGTGGTGTTGGCATAGCCAGAATTGACTCATGCAGGGGGAAGACAGCAGACCAGAAATCCTACCAGGTGCTTTGGATTGAGTAAAGTACACACTATAGAGGAATGTGCTTTATTCACTTTTTCATTTAAAACGTTAACCACTTTAATGATTACAGAATTACAATATTTTGTGTCTTTTTAGATCTGCCTGGAATTCAACTTTAAATCTATTTCCGTGACCAATTATATTTCTTTCTATCCCATCCAACATTACCTGTACATTAAGGCTGCTGTAAGCTCTGTATTGCTCCCTTTCTAACAATCTACATAGCAGCTGTGAAAACTCACTGTAAAAATCCACTGGGTAACACTGTCACTCACTTCTTCCTCCTTCAGCCCACCTTTCCCAAATGGCTGCAAGTATATTTTTTTCTGTTTGGTTGACATAAGCCTATAAAACAAAACAAATCCAGCCAGATGAGAGACAAGCGATCTCATCATTACAGATTACAGCAGCTTTTATGTACTGGTCCTGTTAGTATAGGAAGAGGAATGGCTTGGGTTACTTTTAAGTATATTGGGAAGTCAGGAGTCCTAGTGTAATAGAACCACAGCTGTTTTGATTATGTAACAGTACCGAACATTGGTCCATTTTTTTTTTTTTTTTTTTTTTTTTTTTTTTTTTTTAATCCTATGTGTGTCCCAATAGTCAGATGGCATTGTTGTACACAGCCACTTTTATAACAAAATTATGTCGTGCAGCGGAAAGTATTTTGTCTCAACTACCTTTTCAGGTTCTCAGATTATCTACATATGTATAAATGAACTGTTGATTTATGTCGTCCTTAACAGCATCCGAGAGTATTCACTTGACACTATTCTCCTTAAAGTATATCTAAAGCAAAATCTTCTTATCCTAGTTTTGGATAGAGTACAAAATTCAGAGATCTAACTACAGATCTGTGGCTAGCAACAATAAAGAACTTGATAATTCCACTTGGAGTTTTTACAGATTTTTTTTTTTTTTTTTTTTTTTTTTTTTTTATCTGAACAGCCCGCATGGGCTTTCCCATGGTCCACCCCAGGCGATTGAAACCCATGTCAGTGTAGCACTACCCCCAAAGGGGCTGCTGGTAATAGCTGGCTCTTCCATAATAATACAGAGATTGCCTGTGCCGCTCCAGACTCTGGGATGGATCCCAACTTTAAAGTCGGGATCTTTCCCCAAACAATAAGAGATAAATTTCCAGCTCAACTTACCGACCAGCCTGCAACCAATCAAATTGTCTTGTCTAACAATTTGTGGTTAAAAACGGGTTTAGTTTGCACACATTTTGCAAATATATGCATTCGCTGCATAGCCTCTTCATGGCACCCCAATATTTTGCAGTTTCTAACTCTATAAATTTTGAGAGCCTCCATAGAGAAGCACATGTATCATAATGGATAGACTGAGGGCAGGTGAGTCTGGAGGGAGCCTACCCTTCCTTAAAGGTACAGGGGTGCACTGAATACCCAGCATATAGCACAATGGCAGCCAAGGTGTCCAGTGCCTTACCAGTATATCAACAGTACAAACAAATGGCCACTGCCCCAATCTATAACTGGATCTTTCCCTAACCTGCACCGGCTGAGTGACATCAGTCAACAGCGGGCTTCAGCCCACTGTTAGCTGAAAACGGGTCACAGGAGTGCAGAATGAAAAGAGCTTTGACTGTACTTCTCCTTTTTTAATGTTAATTTTTACCAACATCTGAATACTCATGCCCTTCACAGGGGATATTAAAGAAGAGTTCCACTCACCCTGTCAAAAAATAAAAGTGAACAGCTACAAAAACTGTAGCTACTGACTTTTAAAAAACAGCCACTTCCCTGTCCCTCGGTCCCGTGGTGTGTCCCTCGCAGCTCATTTCACTGGCTGTCCTGTGTTCCAGGAGGCCAGCTTCTTCAGTGTGGGCACCCGGCTGTGACCGCTTGGGGCTTCACAGCCGGGTACCCACTGCGCATGTGCGAGTAGCGCTGCGCTTCATGAATGGTTCTGTAGTCTTCTGGGACCTGTCACGTGTCCCAAACGACTACAGGGAGGGAGGACACCTTCCGGTTGCCTAGGCGATCAGACCGGAAGTGGGGGCAGGTAAGTGTGTTAAATTCGGGTACCCACTCCCCCCTGCCCCCCAAAGGTGCCAATCCTTAATGGGAAGCAGGGGAGCAGTCCTTAAAGCCGAACTTCCCCTTTTGGGTGGAGCTCCGCTTTAAGGTGTATATATGGTCAACTTTCAAAATCATATGCTAATTTCCATTATTGATGGCCTACTCCTAAACAATCTTTGTTTGAAACTTAATTTTTGAACAGTCCCACACATTTTACTTCCTTTAATGTAGTGACAGATATTCACTATACCCTGTGAGTAGGCACTGCTGTGTCACACATTTCACAGAGCCTATAGTGGTGCTAAGAGGAGGAGTTTCGGGAGGGAGAGTAAGTAAAGGAATCATTGCTTGCAGGCAGCAAGATGCAAAACATGCAGGGAATCTAGGAAGTTGTGGAAAGAGATGGCCAGCAGACAGGCAGCACTCACAACATGAAAGGGAAGTTTTCAAGTAAGCTTACATTGGTTTGTCATACTATCATTTGCAGTGCTATTACAATGCTGATGTTACAAAATTGAAAGGGTTTGCTGTGACTGTAGATCTTTTAATGTCCATCCATAACGGCACTGGGGTAATAGGTATATAATCATAAAATAAGCACTCTGCCTTTATTCAATCCTTTAAGGGAAAACTCTGGGATCTGTAACCACACAGATGACACAAGCTAACCCTTTGTAGAAAACGTTTCAAAGTTGTACTTTGTTTTTATTGTATTGCCTTGTCTTCTAGCGCACAGCCAGCGACTGGTGCATGTCAAGTCGAGAATGAGCCTCACCCCGCGGTACCAAACTTTGGAACGAGATCTTATAGAGTATCAGGAGCGGCAGCTGTTTGAGTACTTTGTTGTGGGTGTCACTGCAGAAGAAGCCATCTGGTACTGTGTATGTTCCGGAGATCACCCAGCAATTCCCGCTCAAGGTAAGAGTGTCAGAAAATTCTTCGTTCTCAGAGAATGTGTCACACCATGCTAGCTTGTAAATGTTAGTGTCTGGAGGAGCCATGCTATTTGTCAATCTGCTTGAGATCAGACATCAAAAGATATTGTTCTTTTGTTTTGAAGTAGGACTATAAGCAAAACCTTTTTTTTTTTTTTTTTTTTTTTTTTTTTTTTTTTTTCATCTGTGTTCCATTGCAGAGATTTCCCTTCACTTCCTGTCCCATAGTCAAATAGGAAGTAGGAGGAAATTCCTGAAAAGTAAGGGAATTCCTTGGGGACTCCCAGGTCACCAGAACTAATGTCTCCATTGGAAGATTTTCCCTCTATTACTTTTCTAGGGACAACCCAAAATTTGGTATTTTCTTTTACTTTTTCTTTCAATGATAATGGCAAACAAGACAAATTGAGAGGGTGAATCTCCCTAATGGGGACAGACCGCAATAAAAACTGACAAGACTAATCCCTCTCCACTCTAATCCCTCTCCACTTTATTGAAAACTAAAAAAAAAAAATGTTTTGCCTTTAGTTATACGTTAAGTTAGTATCACATTGTTACTGGGACTTGACTTTCTTGGATAAGTTCCATTACATGCCATCAGCTATCCAATGAGTGCCACCAATCCGACACTCTCATTTGGCAGGTGGTGGCAGTTGGCAGGGCTTTGCCTTCAAGTCAAAGAAATTCAAGTTGTGCGTGTGTTTGTTACCTATATCTGTAAATCGGTTTTTCCACTCTTAACGTCATTGCGAGCAAAAGAAATGTATCTTGAAAAGGGTACAATTACTTTCAGCAGATAGTGTAGCTGATGGGACCATTTTCTTCGCCTTCTTACTGTGTTATTGGCTGCTTCTCAGTCCCAAAAAGTAAGGAGGAGGGGACTTCTGACAGTTACAACATAGAGATACTTATAAACGGCCTCTAAATGTTTCAAGAGACGGCTTGCATACAACTGGTTGGAGAAATCTTTCTATGTACACCTGCTTGTACAATCTACAGCATCAGCAATTGTGTAATTTGTATCTCTGCTCACAAAATGAACAGACTTGTTGTTTGTCACCAAGCCAGCATAACTGCGGTTTAAGTGTTAATTACAGGGCAGCAAGGTGGGGTGTGTTTGTAGAGACAGGTGACTCCCACACTGCGGGATTTAACATTTAATGTTCATATTTCAGCTGGAGCGATCATTCAAGTTCATGCGGGAAGCTGGGGATCAGTTCAAAGCCATTCCACAGTTCTGCTTCCCAGATGCTAAAGACTGGACACCAGTGACTCAGTTTGACAGGTAAAGTGCACCTCTACTATGAGACATTATATGTAACTGGTTCAGATTATTTGCTGACAGTGCATTGAATAAAGTTATTCACACACAGACAACCCCAGTTCCCAAAAAGTTGGACGCTGTGTAAACTCTACATAAAAACAGAATGCAGTGATTTGCAAATCTCATAAACCTGTATTTTACTCATAATAGAAAACCTATTGAATGTTTAAACTGAGAAAATGTACCATTTGAAGAAAAAAACTAAAAATTCATTTTTTGATGGGAGCGTCACATCTCAAAAAAGTTGGGACAGGACAACAAACAGCTGGCAAAGTGGTACGAACAAGGTTGATCTACCAGAAATTCAGTGAGCTTCTAATTTATTTATTTTGTAGCTGACAGCACAGTGCCTCTGCTTCACTAAAATCCTAAACTGTCTTGTCAGCCCTGCCTGAGTTCTCCCTGCAGGACTTCAGCACACTTCCCCCTTTTTGGTATAGTGATGAGCAGAGGGAAAATGTTCTGTAGTAGAGAACAAACATCTGGGATCTGGGGCTGACTAGCCAGTTCTGCTTGAATATTAATCCCCAAAGTGCTTCTACAGGGATTGCAGGATCAATGCCTTGGCACTGGCCACATTCATCTACTGACATTTTAAAATTTTCCATTTTCATTACAAACCTAATTTTAGGCCCCACTGACATCATCACTGGTTCTCTGAGCTTTTATATACAATGAAGGCAGATCAATAGTTCTTTTATGAGTTGGCAACCCTATTAATGGTACTGCTTTCCTTGGACAATAACTTTTATATGTAGTCAGCTCCAGAATGTCAAACTTTGCCCTTGGAAAGGGGTGATCACATGATCATGCACACTGCTCACTTGATGTCAAGATCTGCCAGTAGCTGCTCCATTCAGGTTGTGAGAATTAACTCAGTAGATGCCTTTTGTAGTGAAAACATTTAAAGCCTACGGCATTGGGAAAACTAGAGGAAGGTATGAAGAATTCCTCACAGAACTACAAAACCTTTTTTATTCTTTCTTTTTAGTGAGACTTTCTCGTTTGTGCTGACCGGGGAAGATGGTAGTCGGAGATTTGGTTACTGTAGACGACTTTTGGTAAATAAAACTTAACTCTGAGTTAATTATGAGTTTATTCTGTGTACATATTTCAGTAAGTGTAAAAAAATTAGTGTTCCTAAACTAAAAAATGTTCCCTGTGTTACAGTACACCTATGATGTACCCCTTGTCCCTACCTGAAACCTTAAGCCCCGCACACATGATGAGAATATCAAAAGAATGATCGTTCTTTTTTTTTTTTTTTTTTTTCTTTTGCATGCTAGTCTCATATCGATAGTAATTTGGTATTGTACGAGAAAAAAATTTTTTTTGCTTGTCCCTTTTGGGCAAAACCTGTGTTCGAATGATCAGATTATTGTACAATCACTTTGAAAGCTGTATTTTTCATACGGTTTTCTAATGGCGTGTACTAGGTTTTAATGTCCACTTTCAACTGCAGAACTTTTATTTGTGGATAAAGGATTTGCTAGAACTTCTGTTGGGTTTTTATTGTCTGGGAATCCACTGGGAAGATTTTACTTCCTGCCGCTGTGACACTGCACACAAAAAAAAAGGGAAACTGGGTTCACCTGAACATCTACCCACTGGGGACCTAAAAAGCAATTCTTACCTAACAGAGGTTCTAACCCAATTCTGAACTATTCACACCAGCAAAAACAAAAGTTTTTCATCATTTTTAACCCTGAAAGCTCAGGATAAGCTTTTAATTTCACAGCATAGCATTCTTATCCAGTCGGTAGTAAATTTATATACATATAGTTGAGTCAGATTTATAGCGTTGCAATCAGCAAAACTTATGCTTCCTGTTGATCATAGAGCTTTTGAGTAAGTATAACACATCCCTGTTAAAGGATAAGTATGGCCAAAGTGTTTTTTTGTGTTTGTTTTGTGGGGTTTTTTTTTTTTTTTTTGATTTTTTTTTTGTGTGTTGGTTTTTTTTTTTTTTTTTTTTTTTTTTTTTTTGTGTTTTTTGGCCATACTTCTCCTGGCGCTCAGATCAGTGAATTTGGTTCTGCACTCCTGTGTCCCTGATTCAGCCAACAGCGGGCTAAAGCCTGCTGGTGACTGATGTCACAGAACCGGTCCAGGCTCTACAGGGATCCCAACAAGTGTCAGGATCCATTCAGATTCCTGACCAGCAGCTAGCTCGGCCTCTAAGTGTGCCACTGCTCACCCAAGGCGGAAAACTGAGCGCTCAATGGCCTTTGATCACTTTGTTATCAATGCTGAACCAGAGGGAGACAGCTGCAGCATCCATCTAGGGGAGTATGTAGGTGTTGTGTTTTTTTTAACCTATACCTGTCTGTCTTTTTTTTTTTTTAATTAATTTTACCGAGAGGTCACCTTAAGTTTAAACCCTTGACTGGACCCTTTATCAGTTAACCTATACCCCAAGATGAGCTTTTAAAACTTGTACCCCAACAGTTAATCGTACATCTCATTTATGTAATCCTCTCAAAAAGACACTTGGCCATATACTGTGTGAAATTTTCCAGTTTATTTATTGTAGTAGAATTGCTCAGAAAATGTATTCAGTAAATGGCCACCCCCTCACCTGACATCCCTCTAAATTAAAAAATCAAAAGAGCTAGGCACAAAAACTGTTGGCCAAACAGCATCTGCATCCATCCAATCAGATGCAGGCACTTTTTGGGTATTTTGGCCGCTGGTCCTGCACCTGAAGAATCGTCCATCTGTGCTTTGTAGCGTGGATGGAGGAATTAGATTGTTTTCCTGCTCAGCCGGCAGGCCGAATTTGAAAAAAATCTATACATACATGGTCAGCTTAACCTAATCTATTATTGAGTGCAAGGTCTAAATGTGGTGCCCATTGAACTGCACCGTCACATTTTAGACCCATGCTGTAGCAGGAACAAGGAGGTAGGATTATCAACTGTTAGCCAAACCTCACCTCATTTTAGGCCCATGCAAAATTGCTGTAGCAGGAAAAAGGCGGTAGGATTATCAACTGTCAGCCAAAACTCACCGCTTCATCGGATAAATCATTGTATTTAGGATATGGTAGTAACTACAAAGTCCAGGGTATGTCGCTTTATAACTATACAGGCTATAAATATGGCCACAGATTCAAAGATTTCTACTCTTTAAACATTGCATGTTTAAACACTACCTTCCCTGTGATAGCTCTCCTAATGAATCTATTGTAAAGATCCCACAGTGCTGTTTTTACTCTGTCCCCTGCTGTCATGTTGCACCGAAGGTCCCCTGCTATTCCTGATGGAGTAGTAGTCTTTCTGCAGAGGTCCAACACCACCACCCCCCATGCAGATTCAGACATAGCTCAACATTTCGCTAAATTTGTGCTCCTTGCTGAGTAGGCTGTGAAGGTTCTCTGCAGAGAGACCACTGCTTACACAAATAGAGCAAGGGTTCTTCTATATGGCATGCTTGCAGGGGACAGACTTTTCTACTTCGTATGTGGCTGCTTTCTGAACAAAACAAACTGTAAGACTTTGCACCTTTTTTGTTTTGATGCACCTAGAATGGATTCGGCTGATTTAAACTGAACGTTCAGTTAGGCTTTAAATAATACTTTAGCAGCCATATGTTATGTCATGCTGGCTTTCTGTTTTGTTCTTTTGCCCTTTGAATCCTACTGCCAAAACTGTTTGGTATAAGCAATAATTCCTTTTGTAGGAATGTTTGAGAGGAGAGTCAACAGAAGTCACTGAGCTGTGACGGAAACAGTTTGGAAAATCTTTGAACCCTCATTAAACTTTAATGTTTCTGTAGCGGCAACAATGTACAGATTACATCATGTGCTTCGCTAATACACAAGCATAAAAAAAGTAATAATGAAAAAAAGACACCTGCACCCGCATTGACTGTGGGCAGCTGCAGGGAAAATTTCCCAGTATGCTTTGCCTTTTAAACCTTCCATTTTGTTCCCACAGCCCAGCGGGAAGGGAAAGCGACTTCCTGAAGTTTACTGTATTGTCAGCCGGTTGGGCTGCTTCAACCTCTTCTCAAAGGTACAGAAAGGTGCAGGGACATTGTAGTGGTGGATAATGGAGATAGATTGGTTGCTTACATTTGATGAAAGCAAAATTAAGAGATGAAAACCAGAATGGGAAAAGTAGTAGTTTGCTGGTCCCACCATAGCAATGCTTGCTTCCATCTAAAATATGTGGGTATTGGTTGTTCTGTTTCAAGTGCCAATTTAGGCTTTGACATATCTCTTTAGACTCAGTCTGTCCAGACAGTATAGTGTGATGACTTGGCAACAGCCACAGGAAGATTAAAGTGTTACTAAACTCACAACTGTAAAATCAGTCTATATATGTAGTAAAGCATGCTTGTTATACTCACTGTGGAACCTAAGGGGTTAATCCTCCACATTGTGTAATAAGGCTGTTTGATCCTGTCATCTCTGATCTTCTACTGTCCCCAATCCATCTGCTGATGGTACAGAGCCTTGGTGGCTAGCTGTACATGCTCAGTTTAGTGTGTATTGCTAGAGGTTTTTGGGGTTTTTTTTGGGAGGGTGCATATGATCAGCACAGGGCCAATATCACTGTCCAGACAGAAGGTCAGGGGGTTATGCAGCCTCATAGGACAGTCAGAGCAGAATAAAAACTCCTACGAGCTTTAACCATTGCTTAGCTGGACACCGATAGAAGTCATAAGATTGCTCTAACTGCTATTGAGTAAAGGTATTTAGCAGTTTATATTTACTAAAATAATTCCATATCCATGCTCTGTATAATGTGGGAGAGCAAATATAGTGAATACAGGGTCCTGGGTTTAGTAACACTTTAACTCTTCAGTAAGACTTAAGTTGAATCCAACATAATTCTACTTCAGCTAATTGCAGTATAGGGGATGTTTTTCTAGTCCCTTTGAACTGTAAGAAGACTGACTTTCATAAGCCCTGTATAAGCACTGACTGAGGGAACATAGATGATAAAGGGCTGGTCTAGCTAGTGTAAACGTGTTTATGTGTGTTTTGCATTTAGAAGCGTTTTTTTTTTTGGCTGGTCCATATCCAGATGCTGTCCAGTGCCTTTTTTCTTCATTAAAAATGCATGCACAGCGTTTTCCATCTATTCAAATGGACCTAGTACACCAGTGCAGTCAGTTCCATGTTTCACATGCAGGAATAAATGGTAGAATGTGCTGCATTTTCTGCACAGAACTGTACTGGAACACATCAAAACACAGCAAGAGTGTTGTGTGCGCTCCATAATGCGTCCAGAGGCATTACAGCACTATGTAGCTCCTCCCAGAGTGCCAAGTATGTTTCACGAGCCACTTTTACTACAGTTGCAACACGCATAAGAAAGTAGTGCTGTCTCTGCTTCTGCTCTCTATTTCTCAAATGTCTGAAATAGTTAATTATTTACTATTTTTCAGTGCATTTTGGGCATTTGGGAGGGTCTCCTGAGGTTATCGTTTAAAAATGCTTCTAAACGCGGTGGCTAAACTGACGTTTTTAACCTACGTTTTCTAGCAGTCAGTTTCCAGTATTCAAAAGTTTTTCAAACGCCCCGTGTACATGAGCCCTTAGAGAATTGTCATCTGAACAGGTGTCCCCATTGTAAGATTCCCCCTTTTTTATTCCTGTTTTGGTGACCACTAGAATATTTTTAAATTTTCCGCCACTATCAATACCAGTGTTCCCCAGTACCAATAGGGTAGATTAATAAATATTTAGCACAGTTTTCATACAAAGATCATATGTTTTCTAATTTGAGTCCATTGGAAAATGTGTGAATCATGGGCAAAAGTTCTGTGAATTGTTTGTGAAAACATTGTGTGGTGTTTCCCCCCAGCAGGGACCCAGATGGCAATTAAAAGCTGAAAGGGGTTTTGTCCCTTACACACTCTATTCAAATGCCAAAATGTTTTTTTTTTAGTTTTGGATAAACGTTAAAGCTTTTATTATTCACTGCAAAACTTCATTTTATAACAATTTTTACAGATTCTGGATGAAGTGGAGAAAAGGAGAGGCATCTCTCCGGCTCTGGTGCAGCCATTCATGAGAGCCATCATAGATGCCCCATTTCCAGCTCTAGGAAAGAAGATTACAGTGAAGAACTTCCTGCCTGGGTCAGGAAATGAGGTATGGGAAGCCGTGTCAAAGACATGTGATTGGTGCAACATGGTTTTTAACTTGTGATCAGCAATACTGTCCCCTAAGCTTATTTTTAGAAGAATGTCCTTTGCTTGGGTTTGGCACCTGTTATTGGTGAATGATTCTCGAAGTCTGTGAAAAGGGGGAGAATAGCCTCAAGCTGTGATTGGCAGAAGAAAAAACTCCCCCAAACGAATTTAACTGGCAAAAAAAATTTCCTTTTAACTATGATTGTCAGAATTCCCCCAGGTTGTGACCTGAGAGGACATTTTCCACCAGGTTGTGACCTGAGAGGACATTTTCCACCAGGTTGTGACTGAGACATTTTCCCCTAACCTGTGGTTGGCAGGAGAATCTTTCCAGCTCATGGTTGAAGGGATAATTACTCTAGTTCTTGTGATTGGCAGAAGAATTTGTTTAGTTGATGGAAGAGTGTCTAAAGCATCCCATAGATTATGCAGTTTTCTTTCCTTCCACCAGAATTCCATTCCTAGAAGGATCGAATCTTGTCCGCTCCCTGCTGAGATTCGATCCATCTATGGTCGACTTTAGCTTGACTTGACAAGTGCATTTATTCACTTACTGAAACGTTTTTCTGTCTGTAATTGGTGGGAGTAGGCCTCACCTCTACTCTCTTCCTAGGTGATTGAACTTTGCCGACCTCTGGATTCCAGGCTCGAACATGTGGATTTTGAAGCGCTATTTTCCACACTCAGTGTACGACACCTCATACAAATCTTCGCCTCTCTCCTTCTGGAAAGAAGAGTAATTTTTATGGCAGAAACCCTTAGGTAGAGATGAAACCTTCTTATATCTCCTATTCCATAAGTCAGAGCATGTCACACAGAATTCCAATCCATTCCTATGTTGCTCACATCTTTTGTGCTGCAGTTTAATTCCATTTTAAAAAATAGGGCATGCTGCAATTTTGTGTGTTTTTTTTTTTTTTTTTTTTTTTTTTTTTTTTTTTTTTTTAACCTGTTTTAAATGGACCTATTGAAATGAATGGTATGTACAGTAATGCACTTGTGTGCCTTTTTACACCTCCTAAACCATGAATGTTTCTGCTCCATATTGCATCACGAGCAAGGTAACAAACATACATTTGAACAACTCTGATTACTAAATATACTTGTGCTTCGAAGAACCCTATTGGGTATATAGGGTCTGGGATTAAAAATCTAATTTCAGTCTTTGCAGATGACACCAAGCTGTCCAATGGAATAACATCCTTACAGGATGTCTCCAATTTACAAGCCGACCTCAATGCACTGTTTAATTGGCAACTATGTGTGGCAAATGAGGTTTAATTTTGATAAATGTAAGGTTATGCACTTGGGGGTTAAGAATATGCATGCATCATACATACTGGGGGGGAGGGGGGTACAACTGGGGGAATCAATGGCGGAGAAGGAGCTGGGGGTTCTGGAAGATCACAAGCTTAATAATAGTATGCAATGCCAAGGAGAGAGAGAGAGATTCGAGGAACTGAATTTATTCTCTTGAGAAGAGGAGATTAAGGGGGGATATGATCTCCATGTATAATTACATCAGTGGTTCATATAGTGAACTCGGTGTAGAGCTATTCACCCTGAGGTCATCACAGAGGACAAGGGGGCACTCTTTAGGTCTGGAGGAAAATAAATTTAATCTCCAAATACGGAAAGGTTTCTTCACAGTAAGATCTGTGAAAATGTGGAATAGACTCCCTCAAGAGTTGGTTCTGGCCAGCTCAGTGGATTGCTTTAAAAAAGGCCTGGATTCTTTCCTAGATACACAGAATATAACTGGATACTGACATTTATAGGTAAAGTTGATCCAGGGAATATCCGATTTACCTCTAGGGGGATCAGGAAGGGATTTTTTCCCCAGCAGGAGCAAATTGGGTCATGCTTTGCTGTGGTGTTTTTTTTTTTTTTTTTTTTTTTTTTTTTTTGCCTTCCTCTGGATCAACTGTGGGTGTAGGATTTTCATTATTAACTATGTAATGTGTAACCCAAGGGGCTCATTCAAATCTAATGTGTATTGATCTGTATTGATTAATGTTCAATCCAAGAACACTGCAAATACTATTGTGGTCTGTTCCCAATTTTACATCAATGCATTGTGCTGGTGTGCAGTGTGGAAACATGTAAATATGCTACAATTCTTTCAGTGCACATCAGCATGTTGACGTCTGTTGACCTGTTTTGTGGTTTTTTTTTTTTTTTTAACTTGCATAGAAGCAAAGCAAAAAAAAAAAGTGCACAATAATGTGTACTGTGTTGTGTAAATGAGTCCTAAATGATGGAAGGAAAGGAGAGGTAAGGAGGGGAAGGAAGTGATACAAGTAGGAGAGGAACAAGTTGGGGAAGGGTAAGGAGGAAGATGAAGGGGAGGAAGAGAGATGGGGAGTGGGGAAGGGGGAAGGAATGGAGAAAAGAAAGGGAAAGGAGGGGGTGAAAGAAATGGAGGGAAAGATAGGAGGGGAAGAAAGGAAAGATGGGGGAGGAATAGAGAAGAAGGGGACTGGAAAGAGGGGAAGTGATGGGGAAAAAAAGGGAAGAAACAGAAGGAAGAGAAAGTAAGTTGGGGGAGGAATGGAGAGAAGGGGAAAGGAGAGAGAGAGGATGAAATGGAGAGTAGGAGGGAAATAGCGAGGAATAAGGGGAAAGGAGGAAGACTATGAGATGGAGAGAAGGAAGGGAAGAATGTGAGGAGAAGGAAGATGTGGGAGGAGTAGAGAGAAGGGGAATGAAGAAGGTGGAAGAAATGGTGAAAAGGATGGGAGGAGAAGAAACAGAAGGAAGTTGGGGAAGGAATGGAGAGAAGGGGAAAGGAGAGAGAGGATGAAATGGAGAGTAGGAAGGGAAGAAACAGGAAAGGGACTATGAAGTGGAGAGAAGGAAAGGAAGAAAGGAAAAGGAAGATGTGGGAGGAGTGGACAGAAGAAGGGGAATGAAGAAGATGGAAGAAATGGTGAAAAGGATGGGAGGAGAAGAAACAGAAGGAAGTGAAATGAAGTTAGGGGGGAGGAATGGAGAGAAGAGGAAATGAGACAGGGGATGAAATGGAGAGTAGGAAGGGATGAAGAAGGGGAAGGAGGAAGAATATGAAATGGTGAGGAGAAGAAATGGAGAGAAGGAAAACAATGATGGGAGTAGAAGAAACAGAAGGAGGAGAAAGATTGGGGAAGGAATGGAAAGAAGAGAGGATTTGACATGCCACTCCTATTATGTGATTTATGAATGAATGGTCTCCTTTGGCCCCATATCTCCTGTAAGTTCTTGGAAACCCTGATGTTATAAAGCCATTTACAGTGCCAAACTCATTCCAACACCTGACCTGCTGCTATATACTCTCAGTAGTATCTCTGAAAGACCTTCAATGCAGACCAGGTTCACTGGGTTAGAAGCACAATGAACTTTTTTTGTTTAACATGACACTTCCGCTTAGATAAGTCTATTTTCACAAGTGAACTTGTTTTGCCCTCCATCAATTTCCTGGTTCTTGCAGGGTTAACTCCATACATATTTTCCCGCTCTCTTCCTGTTGTGTTGCCATGGAGATGGAAGTAAACATTCTAGCTTTCAACTCTGATGTCACCCTGCGTATAATTATAAAGTGTTGTGTGCGCAGAGCAGGATTCTAGGCATTTTTCCAGAAATGTCCGCGTTCCAGGCGATTAGTGATACTGTCAAGCACATATGCAAAGAGCTGCTTTTTGCCTGTTTATTTAATCTCACGAAGAGTGAGACAAACTGCCCAGATTTCATAAACTTTTCTTAAAGCTTAGAAGCAGAGCCCTGTAAATGAGAGAGAGAGTTTTTGCAAAAGACGTCAAATTTTCCATTGCCTAATTAAGAGTCAGTATAAGATTCCATGTTATAGTACTTGCAATTGGAATTTCTGTTTTTTAAACTACTTTTCACTACCAGCCTTGAGTTAATTTCCTAGTTATGGGGATATACTCTAATGGAACAACTCAAATGAGTGTTACATGGTTACTGTCATGTTGAATCATATGCTGTTTTTTAAACTGGCTGCATACTTTAAACATGATTTTACAATCACTTTTAAAGTTTCCAAGAACTATGTAATACAAGAATCTACCTAAAGTGGACCTAGCATCAAATATATTTTTCATATTGGGTACATGAATGCTACTTATTATTTTTATTATTGTACTCCCCCTAGCAATGCCTTCATCTGTTTTCTTCTCCATCTTTGATTAGCCGTCATTCATGGCTACCTTTTTAATTCTTAACTAAAATTATGTCTCAGAGATGACACAATCATGTAAATCCTGCAGTCTGTGCAGTTCTTGGCTGTGTTCACAACTGTCTGACGCAGATCAGCTCCTTCTGCAGCCTCTAACCTTGTGATTTGCTACAAAGTTATAAGGTTGCAGTCTAAACATTGGGGAGAGGAGACTGAGGAAATGTTTCCACCTGTCTGAAGCAAACCACATCTCAACCTAGCCATTGGACTGGAGATCAAGGATGGCTTTTTAATGATAAAAGGTTGAGTTTTTTTTTTTTTCTAAATTTCACTGTCATGTATTGAGATGTCCGATTTATTCATGCAGAATTGTAACATTAAAGATCCACTTTAACACTTGTCATAAGCTGTTGATGCCAAGAGTAGTCTGTGCCTTTTGCACCTCAATGATGTCCAAAGACCTCTGTCTTTGGGCCTTGTTATAAGCAAGGCTGAAGGTACCAGTTTTGTTTTACTACAATGGCATGCTTTTGCAATACTACTTTGTCCAGTGAATGCCAGTTGACAGTTTGAGAGAGAGGAAATGCTTCCTCTTGCCTGCAGCAGAATATCATCTCTGCCTAGGCAAAGTCACCTAGCTTATAAATTAATAAAATCTTCTGTGCATGGGTTTGTCTAATAATTATATGCTCTTTCTTGACATTTAATGCAATATATTTCTAATTAATTTTGACACAGTGTGACTTTTTGTTTTGAACTTCTGCTTTTCCTTAGCACGTTGTCCAAATGCTGCCATGCCATGGTTGCTTTAATATACCCCTTTGCCTGGCAACACACCTACATTCCAGTGCTTCCTCCATCAATGATTGACATCGTCTGTTCACCCACTCCATTCCTGATTGGTCTGCTGTCCAGTTCTCTGCCTCGTTTGAAGGAGCTACCTGTGGAAGAGGTGAGCTTTAGGCTGTCAGTTATGTTCACCATTTTATGGCAGAACAAAACCTAAACTAGAAGGATGTTTGGTAGCGTGTTGAAGATCCACATTCAGCATTTTTCATCCAACTCTTAATTTCTATAAAATAACAGCCATGTTTTGAAGATATCATACACGTGTCGGCGTAGAAACTTTACAAGTTCTGCATCTCAGCCTAAACTTTGTTTCCTTACCAGTGGTGACTATTGTGGTCACAGTTGTTAAGCTCTCTAGCCAAAAAGCTAGATTTCCCCCTCTATTACTTGTCTCATTTATCTAGGTCATGGTATAGCTAGTAGTAGTTGGTCACATTCTGTAATGTTGAAGATGGTTCATAGCTTGTACAAGGTTCCTTATTACTCATACTGTAAGTGTTCTTGATACTGAGGGTCAGAAACATACCCAAGCATTTATAGCTACACCGGTAACCCAGACACCCATAATCCAGTCATATGGGAGTGAGACCTTTTTCATAATGGTAATCCTGAAAGGTAGTCCTCCTTAAACCCACCATACATGGATCAAAATTCAGCCGGTTCTGCAAGGATCAGCCAAATTTCTATCCACGTATGGGCATTCTGGCTGTACATTAGTCAGTTGTCTTGTGTACAACCAGCCTGTCGGGTTTTCCCTGAAAAAGTGAAAAAAACTTTTCACTGAAAAGTGCCGCCTGCTATAGCCAGCAACAATCATTGTGTTCTGCTGGCAGGGAAGGCTCCTCGCCAGCAAAGCACAACAGCACTGCGGGAGGGATTCCCTCATCAACACTGTATTGATGGGGGAATCAAGCAATTTTCTTTCATTGTACCTGTGGTGGATGGAAAGAGAGTTGCATAATCTATGGCCTGCCTTATTCTTACCGGTGCATCTACTCACCGGATGCAATGACCTCAAACACTCAAGAAGATCATAAAATGCTTGGTGATATATATGACTACTTTATACACTGCTCAAAAAAATTAAACACTTTTTAATCCGAGTATAGCATCACGTCAACTAAACTCCTGGGATATTGATCTGGTCAGTTAAGTAGCAGAGGGGGTTGTTAATCTGTTTCAGCTGCTTTTGGTGTTAATGAAAACAACAGGTGCATTAGAGGGGCAACAATGATACCACCCCCAAAACAGGAATGGTTTTACAGGTGGAGGCCACTGACATTTTTTATTCTGCTCATCATTTCTGACTGTTTTTCACTAGTTTTGCATTTGGCTAGGGTAAGTGTCACTACTAGTAGGCGATACTTGGACCCTACAGAGGTTGCACAGGCAGTCCAACTTCTCCAGGATTGCACATCAATACGTGCCATTGCCATAACGTTTGCTGTGTCTCCCAGCACAGTCTCAAGAGCATGGAGGAAATTTCAGGACACAGGCAGTTCTTCTAAGAGAGCTGGACAGGGCTGTAGAAGGTCCTTCAGGGGTAGACTGACAACTCATGGGGCCCCCGGGCAATAGGGGATCATGGGGCCCCTGTGTCCTTGCCCAAACTCAAAAGAGCCTATGAAAAAGGTACCAGGGGCATCTCATGGGGCCCCCTACTGACCCCGGGCCCTCGGGCAGTGCCTGACTTTCCAAATGGTCAGTCCGCCCCCAAGGTCCTTAACCCATCAGCAGGACCAGTATCTGCTCCTTTATGCAAGGTGGAACAAGATGAGCACTGCCAGAGCCCTACAAAATGACCTCCAGCAGGCCACTGGTTTTTAATGTCTCTGACCAAACAATCAGAAACAGTCTTCATGAGGGTGGCCTGAGGGCCCGACGTCCTCTAGTGGGCCCTGTGCTCACTGCCTGGCACCATAGAGCTCGATTTGGCATTTGCCATTGAACACCAGAATTGGCAGGTCCACCACTGGTGCCCTGTGCTTTTCACAAATGAGAGTAGGTTCACCCTGAGCACATGTGACAGACATGAAAGGGTCTGGAGAAGTCATGGAGAAATTTATGCTGCCTGTAACATCGTTCAGCATGACAGTTTTGATGGTGGGTCAGTGATGGTCTGGGGAGGCATATCCATGGAGGGACGTACAGACCTCTACAGGCTAGACAATGGCACCCTGACTGCCATTAGGTATTGGGATTAAATCCTTGGACCCATTGTCAAACCCTCATGACTGCTGGTGCAGTAGGTCCTGGGTTAATCCTGGTGCATAAAAATGCCTGGCCTCATGTGGTGAGAGTATGCAGGCAGTTCCTGGAGGATGAAGGAATTGATACCATTGAATGGCCCCTATGCTTGCCTGACCTAAATCCAATAGAACACCTCTGGGATATTATGTTTTGGTCTAACCGATGCCACCACGTTGCACCTCAGACTGCCCAGGAGCTCAGTGATGCCCTGGTCCAGATCTGGGAGGAAATACCCCAGGACACCATCCATCGTCTCCTTAGGAGCATGCCCCAACGTTTTATACATGAGACATGAAACTGAGTACCAGTTACAATTAAATTTCTTTTTTTTTTTGTTTTTTTGTTTTTGTACAAAAATTTATTTTGTTACTTTTTTTTTTTTTTTTTCAAGAAATTTTAAATTTCATAAACAAACAAATACGATTGGCAAGTCTTTAGCCTGCTGCATCATTTTTTTACACTTTGATGTTTTTTATAGAAATACGGGGTACAATAGTCCTTTGTAATCTAAAGAAACAGTAGTGAGGTATATAGCAATAGTTTCCATCAACGATGGGGCATATATGTCTTAGGATTCCGTACTTGAACATTATAGATTAGATTTGAGGAGTATTGTTACACCTGTGTGTCTGTAAGTACCTGTACCTTATATAGTTAGTTAGAATATGGTAAAGAGGTGAAAAAGAGAGAAAGAAGAGATGGGAATGAAATGAGCAAGGGAATGGATAGAAAAATATTTCCGTAGGGGACGAATACAGATGGAGAGAGAGAGAGAGAGGTAGATCTCATGTGTTTTCAAAGCCTGTGCATCATCTTTGATTTTTGGGGTGTCTTTAATTTTTTTTTTAATTTCCATCAAACGTGGGGCATCCTTGCATTCCTATATATATCAGTATATATTTTTCCTCATTGAGATCTCATGTGTTTTCAAATATGTTCCTTTATTTTTTTGATATATATATATATATATATATATATATATATATATATATATATATATATATATATATATATATATATATATATATATATATATATATATATATAGTGAGAAAATTGGTGACAAATCACCACTTCCACTAAATAATCAAAACGTTTTGTCACCGAAATCGAAGACCTTACTGCATCTGTAAAGGTCAATACTCTTGTCAGTCTCGGCAAGCCAAAAGAGAGCCTGAAGCCTTGTACACAGGATGAGAATATAAGATGAATGATCGTTCATAGGTTTTTTTTTTTTTTTTTTTGTTTTTCTGGATGCTAGTCTCGTATTGAAAATTAAGAGATTGCTAAAGTTCCAAAATTTCATTTCACGGCTCTCAAAAGCTGTGTGCTAACAATCAGATTATCGGACAATCGATTCACAAGTGCTATTTTTCTCCTGAGTTTCTCATTTTGAGTACTAGGCATTAATCCATACACAATGGAATGTTTCAGAGCAGATGTTTCACACCTCCCATCTTGTTCTTGCCTTGACACATTCCATGATGATTAGATCTGATCAGTACTGTAGAAGTGGCATGGAGAAGCTAAAAATGTCTTCATGTTATAGAGCATGTCAAACTGAATGGGACTAAAGCTGGCCATTCATTATACAATTTTCCTTTTGGAGATATCAAAAACCATATAATATGAGGTCAAACCTAAACAACACTTTCAATTTGTATATAATTAAGAAGACCTTTGCACTGCATAGTTGAAGGTAAATCTAACGGAGATTGTACAAAAAAATGGTGTATGGCCTATAATGTATGGCCAGCTTAAGACTGAATTCATACAAATTTTCAGTAAAATGCAGGGAAATGGATGTACATTTTACATCCATTCTATGTGTGTTTTAATGCACGTTGACTTAATTGATATCTTTATCACATTGTTACCTTACATCAGATATTCCCGTCAGAGTGCCCCTTACTCTCAAAATACCCCTTTCCATCATAGTTCCCCATCAGAGTGCCCCTTTCCATAGTTTGTGCCCCCTTAACATAAAATAAGGGGCATGCTGATGGGCACATTTTTATGTTAAGGGGCACTCTGGATACTTTCTGTTGTGTCCATCAGCCTATCATTGCCCATCACTACAGCCTCATTAGTGCACATCAGTGAAGGAGAAAAATCACTTATTTACTAAATTTTATAACAAAAACAGGGTTTTTTTTCAAAATTTTCTGTGGTTTTTGGTTTGTTTAAGAAAAAATTAACCCAGAGGTGATTTAAATACCACCAAAATAAAGTTCTGTCTGTCACAAAAAAAATGATAAAAATGTCATATGGGTACAGTGTTGCATGACCGCGCAATTGTCATTCAAAGTGCAACAGCACTGAAAGCTGGAAATTGGCCTGAGCAGGAAGGGGGTATAAGTGTCCTGTAGGCTGGTGGTTAAAGCTGAAGTTTTATACTGCATATATTTTTGTCTTCCATGTTTACTTCCTTCCCACCTCATCAACATGCTAATGAAATTATTACATACAATCTTTCTATTTTCATTGCACCTTATTTATGTTCTGTGGTTCTCTATGCAACACAGGCAAATCATGGTTGGTGGGAAGGGCTGGTGGGGTGCAGTACATAGCTTCCCAAAAAAAGGGAAACTATGGTAATGACCGCATGTGGTGCTGAGACTCCAAGTACAAAAGAACTGAAATCCAAAGAATAAAAGGGGCAAGCCAGGGACAGAGACTGGGGAGGGACGGGGTGGATGTGATTCCAGACATCCTCTAGCCAGGAATTGAGGTGGGCTCTATCTGACTTCTGCAGCTTCTAGTGCACAATGTGAGATGCTCACAGTGTGCAGTGACATTAGACTAGGCAATTTGAGTACAGGATATAAGCCTGTACAACTGAGCAAGATTGAAGGGAAGGTTGGAGTTCTGCTTTAAATAAAACTGGAATCTAAAACAAGCACCTGGAGGACCACTTAATTCTATGTAAGAATAATACAAATCTAAGCATGCATTCAGCCTTTTCTATGCAGTGGGGACAGTACAGACTGGCTTTCTATTCAAATATCACTTCTGACATAAGCAGTTCTGTTTTGCCTGATAAAAATTGATAAAGCTCCAATTTAGTGAGATCAGCGATGTGGGAAAGTACGGACTACAAAGGGGTCTTTAATACACATTTGCACAATGAAGCTACATATTCATTACAATAAATTAGTATTATTGATTAATACAGTGCCTTATTGTCGCCTGAAACCAAGTGCCAGAAATCTTGTATCTAAGCCAAATCGTTAAAAGCTGAACTGCTAGGCAGATAGAAAAGACAGAACTGACTGCAGCTCTATGTTCATGAATACAAATGTATATTTTACCCTCTGCCCTATACTGTAGAAGTACTGATTTTATATACGTGTTTGCATTTTCGGGTAGGGGGTGCACGCGTCGCGCTACCCACACTGCTACTGGCTGCTGGGGATGTCAATCACCGGGTCTGGGTCCCGGCCAGTGATTCCTGGCCAGGACTCAGTGATCGTCAGCAGGGCTGAGGGGGGAGAGATCTGTGTGTAAACACAGATCTCTCTCCTGTCCATATGGACACGCTGCTTTGTATCTCTCTGCACAGCAGAGAAATGCAAAGCAGCAGAGAAATGCAAAGCAGCATGTCTCCCAAGTGAAACAGCACACAATGTAAAACACACACACAGCACACTGTTAACCCTCCTGCCCAGTGTCAATACAGTGTCCGTGCTTTTTATTAGCACTGATCACTGTATTTGTGTCAATGGGATGTCAATGGCAGTCAGTTCCTGCCCAGTGTCAGAATGCCCACTGCAGTCCTGCTGTAAGTCGCTGATCACCGCCATTACTAGTATAAATAATTTTTTTTTTTTAAGTGCCAGTTTGTATATATACCGCCATTTGTAGACGCTATAGCTTTCATGTAAAGTAATTAATATACACTTAATGGGATTTTTTTTTTTTTTTTTAGCAAAGGCATGTAGCAGAATACATTTTGGCCTAAATTTTATGAAGACCTTTTTATTTTTTTTATCGAATGCTTTGTAGCAAAAAGTCAAAGATATAGATAGAGATATATATATATATATATATATATATATATATATATATATATATATATATATATATATATATATATATATATATATAGATAGATAGATAGATAGATTTTTTTTAAATTGTTGGTCTTTTTTTGTTTATAGGGCAAATAAAAACAAAAAGAGGTGATCACCAAAAGAAAGCTTTATTTATGGGGGGAAACAAATACATTTTCATTTATGTACAGTGTTGCATGACCACGCAATTGTCAGTTAAAGTAATGTAGTGCCGTATCCAGGGGCGGACTGACCATTTGGAAACTCGGGCACTGCCCGGGGTCAGTAGGGGCCCCATGGGATGCCCCTGGTTCCTTTTTCATAGGCTTTGAGTTTGGGCAAGGACACGGGCCCCATGATCCCATGAGGGGCCCCATGAGTTGTCAGTCTGCCCCTGGCCGTATCGCAAAACATGGCCTGGTCAGGAAGGGGGGGTAAATACTCTGGAGGGCAAGTGGTTATATACAAGTAGTGCAAGTACCTGAATGTGATCTGGTATCAGCCTCTTGCAGTCGCTGTACAGCAAAGCTGGATTGTGAGCAGCAGAAGCACTGCAATGAGGAGAGAGCAGAGTGATGAGCTGTTCACTGTGCTGCATTACTTTACACTGTGCTGCATTACTTTTCACTGTCCAGTCACAGGAGAGGGGCAGGTCTAGGATGACCTGGGCTCAGAGGAAATGGGTTGAGTGATGCTGGCCATTAGAAGGACATCTAGTTGCAGAAAGAGGGAATACTGCCAGGGAAATCTCTGTTGGCTAGATATGTATTTGTATTTTTAAGTTAAGAGCAGGAGACAAACAAGTTGAAGCCCAGCTCCAGCTAACACCTTTTGAGCCATCAAAGCAGGTTTTATTTATAATAGTTCAAACTTTTTTTTCCAAATGAAAATAAAAACTGATTGTTGTAAGCACCCCCAGCAGTGTTATCTGGCTTATTCCAACTGTACCTGACACTTTAAAACACGGGTGCCCAACAGTATCATGCTCCTCCATTGAAAAAGTGACGCCCACAAAATACGCACATGCGTTTTTAATGCAAACGCCTAGCATGCGTGAAACGTCAACATGTGACTGAAAAGGTGCATTTTTGTAAATGCATTTTTATGCGTTTTTATTTATGCATTGTCCATTTCAATGTGAAGCTGCAGGATGCATCACACTTGTAGTGCAGTGGCGTGAAGAGTCCCATAGAATTAGGATAGGGGAAATATTTTTTTGTGTGTGTGTGTGTGTGTGTGTTGTGTGTTTGTGTGTGTTGTTTTTTTTTTGTTTTTTTTTTTGTTTTTTTCCTTGCATTTTTAGCAAGGTAAAAGCATCAGTGTGAAAGCAGTCTAATACTACTGACAGGCTGCATCATATACAGTATATAATTTTTGATTTTGCCCATACTTTCCATATTAAGTAGTAGTAGTAGGCTTGTTTTAACAAAAGAGTTATGTTAACAGGGTAAATATAACGAGGTAAATGCCATGTCACATTTTTTAGCTATAAATAACACTTTTCTAAAAAGCGCTGTTGATCACAATGTCAGTTTAACAGAGAGAATTACTTTGTATCTGGATGCTCATCCATGGACATTGCTGACAGATGAGCACATTGTATCATGCCGATTCTGGCACTTGGTCAGCGGCCCAGTTTTCACAAGAGTGAAATAATTACCGTAATTAACTGATGGCTTCCGGAGGCCGAGAAGCACCCTCACATGCCAAAAACAACACCATTCTGTGTATGGCTGTAAATGATAAGCTGTCAATCCCTGGAGAGGTCCAAAAGGAGGGGAAGAGTCACGGGGAACACATATTTTATGTTTTTAATGTGTAGGTTTAGCCAAAAAGTTTTGTTTTTGATAGAGTTAGAACCCTTGTCAGGATTTTTCTGCTGTCAAGGGCTCATTAGAGAGATTTCCCCTAATTTAGTTCTTGCTGAGGACATTTTACCATACACAACCTGACAGTAATAAAGACAGAATAAAATTGCTTTCCTTTAGAGTAGGGGAAGGCTAGAACCTTTGTCAGATTTTAATTTTGTCTGTGTCCCATTTGCTGACATTTTTTCCTCATTCCCGGTTTGTTGGAGCTGTTGTCAACAGGACAGGAAATGAGGGAAAATCTATCTAATGGAATAAAAAATGGCAGTAAAAAAACTGACTTTTTTTTTTTTTTTTTTCTTTCATTCTTCCTCCCTCTATCCAAAGCTAGAAAAAGTTTTTGCCTTGACATACACTTTAAAGAGGCCCTATTACCAGACCATTTATTTCAACAGCATTGATCCTATGAGATTATATGTGCATGTAACATATTTTTTGCATGGTGTTTACCTGTAAACGTCTCCCATGTGTAGACATCCAAAAGCCTTGGGGCTGCTGCTGGGTGCAACCCGCTTGGACACAATGACTCAGAGTTGTCACCCAAGTGATTCCCCTTCACTCCTCCCCCCAGACAGCTACATAAGATTATGTAGGGAGGTAAGGGGAGGGTCGGAGGTGCTGGGCCAGCACAGACAGTAAATAGACACTTCCAGAAGAGAAAAGGGATATGATATGCAAGGAAGGAGAGGGCCCTTCTGGGGAATTGACATTTCCTGGAGTTTCTTCTTTAGAAAGTTCAGAAGCATATTGCATAATTGTTTATGGAAATAATAAAATGCTGCAAGTAAGCTTTTAAAATATTTGATTTTTCTGCATTCCTTGCAAAGTTTTATGTTGGTGAAAGGGTCTCTAAAACTTCTATGAGATTTTAGTGATTGTGTTTTAGCTCGTAGATTGTAAGCTCCGAGGAGCAGGGCCCTCCTATCCCTCTTGTATTGTTGCTGTATTGTCTCCCATTATATTGTAACTTGCTCAGCAAACTGTTGGCACTATATAAATCCTGTATAATAATAATAAATAATAAAAGATCTGCTTTAAAGAGATTCTCTGTTTCTAATGGGAGATCTCCTTTAATCAGTGGAGTTTCCTAATGTCCCTGTTCAGCAGTTGTTCAGTATGGGTGGAAAGCAACGGCTGGGCAGTGGTTGGACTGGCTCCAGGACGTTGAAAGGATTTGTCATTTCTGGTCAGTGGTAGGGAAACCTCAAACCACAGCTGAGGATATGTACGCTGCAGGAATGTCTCAGACCCAGCTGCTGCGGACAGTAAACTAGGCAGGAAGGAGGGCAAGTGTGGAAGAGGGGACTGGAAAGCCCCCCGAGAAACAGGGAATTGAAGACCTTTGTTTTGTTCTCTACAGGTTCTCCTGGTGGACCTCGGCAATGATCGCTTCCTCAGCCAGGTGAGTGAAGAACCTTGAATGCTGCCATCTGCTTCACGTTGATGCTAGAAAGAAGACCACTTATGTCTTGTAGAGCTTACAGGAGGCACCTAGTTTTCAAGCAGTGCAGATTTTATAAGAATTTTTTAATTCCACATTATATATTGTCAGCAATATTTCAGCTCTAGATCTCTATGTATAACCTCATCCCTAGTACAGAGCATATTAAACTATGTATTTAGTCATTTGTCTTTAGTTACCCTTGCCTAGTGAGACATCTAAGCCTACTTTTTCTGCCAAATGCAATGTGCACTCTGGTAACCAATGATCCGCTCCCTCCTCTCCTCTATCATTCCCAAGATGTGGGAGATGCTTTCTTGATGTTTGCATACCCCTTCCTCCTAGCAATGAAAAATGTTTGCACACCGATTTATCCTTTAGAACCGCAATCATGAAATTTTGCTGTATGTTTTCTAGATGGATGATGAAGACTCCATCCTCCCCCGGAAACTGCAAGCGGCTCTGGAACAGATCCTGGAGCAGAGAAACGAGTTGGCTAGTGAAATAGACACTTCTGCTAATGGCCAACAAGGTAAATGGCAGTTTTCTATCTTAATTTAAGATTAGGAATGTTTGTAGCTTCTTTTTTAGCTTGGTCAAAGAAAATGCCAACCTATGGCTTGATTTCTTCATCTGGCTCAGGAAACCTTTTGACTTTCTACAGAACCAATTAGAACCAGGATATTTGGTCCATATATATGATGGGGCCCCAAACTTTTTTTTTTTTTTTTTTTTTTTTTTTTTTTCACCAAAAATGTAGTTTACCCAAGATTTGAAGCTGGAATTCGCCATCCGTGTTCTAGCTAAGACTAAGCAATACACTTTCTGGCTAGGAAAAGGTCTGTTATAGGGCACTGTTCTGCAAAAAATCCCCACTGAATTTTTTAATTTTAAGAATGTGCTCTCCGTTCATCCTTTGACAGGCCAATCTAAGCCTGGCCTTCTGGTGGACTCTGACCTACAATTCAGTAGAGTTGGCGGAACCTGCAAATGATTTAAATTACTAAGCCAAGGAAGTCACATGTTACACATTATAATATAACAGGGCATCAGAAATATCAATATAATTTTCATTGGGGTGGCAAAATCTAATTTTTTTCTCCGAAAACAAATTTTGTTTTCCAGATTCCAGCGCTCTCAATGACGTAGTATCTGAGGCCTTTGTCCGCTTCTTTGTGGAAATAGTTGGTCATTACTCTTTGTTCATGGTTCCTGGAGAGCAGGAGGAGAGGACGTTCCTCCGCGATGCCTTTCGCAAATCTGTCTCCTCCAAGAGTGTCCGGCGATTCCTGGAGGTCTTCATGGAGACTCAAATGTTTGGAGGCTTTACCCAAGAGAGAGAGATGCGGAAACAGGGAACCAAAGGTTAGTGGGTCCAATTTAAAGTTCTTCACAGTTTCCTGCGTTTCTCCCGTAGTCTACCTAAGTCTGCTGACTTGTAAAGCAATTGCTTTGTCTTTTAACAAGAAAGGAGCGAGGAGTGCACACCTCATAGTGTAGCATGCATAAGGAAGTTTAATTTACAAAATAAAATCAATAGTTGCACTCACGAACAACTGTGGGGTATAGAGGCTTGTCATGTGGCTTAGAATAGCCTTTTTCAACCAGGGTGCCTTGGTAAAATGTCCAAAAATTGCCCAAAACTTGTATACAAGCCAGTGGGTGGAAAAAGCCTGCCTTAATAACACAAAGCCACATGTTTTCTTTGCACACATTCTAGCCACCAACGTCCTAACAACCAATGACAGCATCAGTTGATGAGGAGGATGTCTGTTCCCTGCACAGCATTCTTGTTTGACATTCCCTTGCCTCTCGCCAACAGTGCTGGGTTCACATCAGCGCAGTGATGGAGAAAAACTGAGGGAGGAGAAAAACATTGGAATACTAGTCAGTACCAGCATGCAAAAGTGTACTTTCTTTGGAAGAGTAAATTACCTCTATCCTACATGTGTGGAAGTTGCGGCTTTATATACAGTAAAACTGTTAGAATAGTTTTTTACATTTTAGAATGGGGTGCCTTAAGACTGTCCATAATTTTAGAGGGTGCCTCGGGGCTATCCATAATTTTAAAGAGTGCCTAGCCTAAAAAAAGGTTGAGAAACACTGGCTACGAGGATAAGTCCAGAGTCAGTATATGAGTTATCCCAGATCCCTGCCTTGGCCACTGGCTGGGGAAAGCATGGGGGCTGAAGTGGAAATGACACTGCTGGCAGAGATGAATGGTGCTGCTTCAAGGTCTGGAGTCCAAGAGCTGAAACCTCCTGTTGTCACTGCTGTGTACCCCAAAATACAGGGATGCGTTTTTGAAGCGATCCCTTCTTTATAAACCCATCAAAGCAATTTGTTTAAGGTGCTTCATTTTGTAATGGTTTTCTTTCATCTATGCAGGGATGCAGATTAAAGTGTATCTAGACCCAGGAGAAAAAAAATATAATCTATTGGATCTTATCAATCCTTAGATATGGTGGCTTCATTTGTTTCTTTTTTCAGGCTTTTTCATTTATTTTCACCTGAAGATCCTACCAGTAACATGCTTCCTATCCTAGGGTGACAACACTCGCTCACTATACTGTATCTGTGATGAAGCCGCATTGTCATCCTTGGACAGCACTACAGATCACATCCCTTTCTCCTAAGCATGACTACAGAGGCGTCGCTAGGGGGGGGCAGGGGGGTACATATGTACCCGGGCGCCAAGGTACAGGGGTGCCAAAATGAGGCTTACAACCAGGGGTGTATTTGCCGTGAGGCAAACAAGGCGTTTGCCTAGGGCAGCACTTTTTAGGGGGGCGGCGTGGGGCCCCCCCTCCCCCCCCCCCCCCCTTCCAACGGAAGGGACACTTAGTACAGGGGCGGGCAGCGGGCTGCTGTGTCTTACCAGTCCCACGACGATCCAGTCCAGGGGGCGCTGCTGGAGGAGGGGTAGAGAGGTCCGGTGTCTTCTTTTCCCTGGACGCGATGTGTGGGCGGGATGACATGCCCCCCTGTCATCTGGCCACACCCTCGGGATCACTGGACAGCCTATGGCAGCTTGTACCTCCCTCTGCAAGCTCCGCCTCCTCACCGGTGATTGGACGCCAGAACTGTAGCTCAGGAAAGGCCCACAGGCGGAGCTTGGAGAGGAGGAGCTGAGCGGCAGCACGAAGATCGAGTGATGGAGCATCCGGAGCAAGTGAAGAAGACAGCTGACCGGTAAGTGTGCCGTGCAGATGGTGCTGCTGCTGCAACCAGGTATGCTGGCTGTGGATGGGAGAGGGAAGGAGCCTAGGGTGGAGCAGGGGTCAGCAAGGTAAGTGTCATTGGTGTCAGTGGGAGGAATAGTGCCCCATCATTGGTGTCACTGATGTGATTAACGGGGAGGGGGGCTGGGGAGCCAATTTTATAGTTCGTCCCCGGGCGCAAAATATCCTAGCTACACCTCTGCATGGCTACATAGGGGGAGGTGTTGTGTAGTTCACGGAAGATAGCTGGAATAGCATTGTTTGAGATAACAGTTCCAGAAATCCAGTGTCCTTGTAAGTTCCTATGCATGGAAGACCAACAGGTATATTTCTGTACTTGCTAAAAAATGTTCTTAACCTTAAAAAAAAATAATAAAAATTGGTGGATATCTAATATCTATTTATTTTTTTTAGCACTTTTTTTTTTTTAGCATTTTTTTTTTAGCATTTTTTTTTTCCTTCTGTGTAACAATCTACAAATTACTAAAATGGCAGACTCCATTATTAAACAGAAGCATTGTCAGTGTTTTTTACCCATCCTCCTTTCCTGTTGTATTTGTTGTTTTTCTGACATCCTGGGAGATTGCTGTGCAGCCCCCGCAGATGCCGACACAGCTGTGAGCACAAAGGATTCTGGGTGTGTACGGAAGATGCTGAACTCACCCACTATTTGTTTGCATTTACAGGTCTATTTGAGGTCAGGGCCCAGGAATATCTGGAGACTCTACCAGGAGGCGAGCAGAGTGGAGTCAACAAGTTTTTCAATAGGATAGGTAAGTTGGAAAACCCACGCATTTATTATTTTGGATATATAAAAGAGATCATGTCTACCTGCTAAATGGCTCTCACTGCACATATGTGATTGCCTAGCTTACTGTATCTGGTGTTTTTGTCATACACATTATAGCATAATTTATTTAAGGTGGGTGGGCATTAAAAAAGAATTAAAACATTACGTTTCTGAATTTCCACTCTTCATTTGCTATACTAGGGTAGCCTTCACCTCTCAGGGATATACACTATTATCACCAAAAATATTGGGACTCCTGCCTTTACACACACATGAACTTTAATGACATCCCAGTCTTAGTCTGTAGGGTTCCATATTGAGTTGGCCCACCCTTTGCAGCTATAACAGCTTCAACTCTTCTGGGAAGGCTGTCCACAAGGTTTAGGAGTGTGTCTATGGGAATATTTCACCATTCTACCAGAAGCGCATTTGTGAGGTCAGGCACTGATGTCAGACGAGAAGGCCTGGCTCACAGTCTCTAATTCATCCCAAAGGTGTTCTATTGGGTTGAGGTCAGGACCCTGTGTAGGCCAGTCAAGTTCCTCCACCCCAAACTCGCTCATCCATGTCTTTATGGACCTTGCTTTGTGTACTGGTGTGCAGTCATATTGGAACAGGAAGGGGCCATCCCCAAAGTGTTCCCACAAAGTTGAGAGCATGAAATTGTCCAAAATGTCTTGGTATGATGATGTCTTAAGAGTTCTCTTCACTGGAACTAAGGGGCCAAGCCCATCCCCTGAAAAACAACCCCACACCATAATCCCCCCTCAATCGCCAAACTTTACACTTGGCATAATGCAGACAAGTTCGTATCATTCTCCTTGCAATTGCCAAACCCAGACACGTCCATCTGATTGCCAGACAGAAGTGTGATTCATCACTCCAGAGAACATGTCTCCACTACTCGAGTCCAGTGGTGGCGTGCTTTAGACCACTGCATCCAATGCTTTGCATTGCACTTGGTGATGTAAGGCTTGGATGCAGTTGCTCTGCCGTGGAAACCCATTCCATGAAGCTCTCTACACCCTGTTCTTGTGCTAATCTGAAGGCCACATGAATTTTGGAGGTCTTTAGCTATTGACTCAGACAGTTGGCGACTTCTGCGCACTGTGCGCTTCAGCATGCGTTGATCCTGCTCTCTCATTTTACGTGACCTTCTACATTGTGACGGAGTTGCTGTTCCCAGTTGCTCCCACTTTGTTTACAATACCACTAACAGTTGACCGTTGACTGTTTTTTAGTAGCAAGGAAATTTCATGGATGGACTTATTGTACAGGTGGCAACCTATCACGGTACCACGCTCAAATTCACTGAGCTCCTGAGAGTGACCCATTCTTTCACAAATTCTTTTACATCTACTTTTAGGTAATCCCTGAGAGGTGAGACTACACTTTGTAAGGTGGAAATTTAGATTACAAATGCCTATTGGTGACCCAGTTTGCTTTAAAAAAAAAAAAAAAAAGTAAAGAGAAGTAAAGAAAGTCAGGTGTTGGATTGAGACTGTTGGGGGTTAGGTTGTGTGGACTCGGGTTATGCTTGTCATTCTCAGTCTAATTGCCTTTTCTCTATTGTAACTTGTTGAGTTCTAATATATTCCTCCTTTCTATAGGAAGCAAAATGTGGTTTCGTCACAAGAAATAAGAAACCAAGGATAGAAGACGAAGGACTTTAAGTTATTAACAAGTTGTCTCCACTTAACCGGATCTCTTACTGTTGGGAGGCTCCAGAAAAATGAGGGAAGAAGATGACAGAAGCAAGGGGCCAATCTCTTTCCCTTGAGAGTGGACCTTCTACGTGACCCTTTTCACAGAACGTGTTTGGGCTCCCTCTGCTGTTTCATGCACTGGACAGACCTGATAAGCTCACCATTCACACCGCATCTGTGGCCTCAATCTTTGTTCTTTTAGGGATATTTTTTCAGAACTTTATTTATATTAGAATTAAAAACAATCTCTGCAAGAAGACGGACTGATATGACCTTTTTGATATGGGTATATTTCGCTTTCCATTAAATCAGTATACTGGGGTGCAACAAATCTGGAGGAGATATTTGGATACAAGGAGACGATAACGTAATCTTAAAGTCTTTAAAGCTGAGGACCATATTGTGGATCGGTCATTGGTGTAATGAGCTTCACTACTGCTTAAACTGTGGTAGTGCCCAGCACGTTGTCAAGAGTGCTCTGGAGATCATTTTTAGGTGTTTTTCACAAGATAGAACAAATATGTGTTACCATGCTGAAATCGGTCCTCTGATATCCATCTATAGCTAGTGGCTAACTCACAAAAGCTGAGTGACATGGGTTACATGACAGTTCAGTTTCCACTGTTGCGTGATCTCACAATTTCCACTTTTAATGAGCCATATGAACTGTTAGCTTGCAGTTGATGGGAAGCATAGAAAGCCAAGGAATAGGTCATGTGGCCTTTTAACTTGTAGTGATTCATCATGTGACCCATCAACTGCCACGTGTAATCAGTCATGTGCCTGGGAGCTGTCCATGTGTACATGTAATAGATCATGTGACCACTCAAAGTTCTTTTGTGACCTCTCCATTGGCAGTAAGTCATATAAATGTGAAATGCCCCTGAAAGCTTCCACTCCTTCTTTGGCTATCCCTGTGTGCTAACAATTAGACGCGTCTTCTTTTGACGTACTCTGTTGAGTGAGTATATTGATAATCAAATGCTTTTTGCGTTCCGTGGTGTGTAAATGTCTGTGGTACTGATTATGTCACAAGGCAGCGCACATTATGATTGTGTGTGGCTTGCTGAAAACTTTTGTCTGTTGTGATTTTTGTATCTGAGAGGTAGCATTCATTTGATTTTGATTCGTCATTTTGTACCATTTTTGCCATGGTGGGAATCACTGACATGCCACCCAATAATATCTGATAATGCCTGTACACCCACCTGAAACAACTGTTTTGTTTTGTCTCCCATTTCTGGCTGAGTAGAGGCTGATAGATTAGCTGACATTTTTTAGGGCTGGTTCACACTGTAACACGGAATGTTCCATGCGCTTTCACAGCACATGAACACGCTGCTCTTGTGAGATGTGTGCAGCTGCCAATTGTCAATGGCACCCAATCATATCTCACCATGGCATGGCCACCAAACTGCATAGTACTGCAGTACCATGTGGTTTGGAGCAGTGCAATTTGCAAAAGTAGTACTTGCAGTACTTTTTCCACGTTCCAGTGCGTTTTGCAGCCCATTCATTTGAAAGGGTTGTCAAAACTGGAATGCGTGGGACTGCATGGAAATGCAGGCGTTCCAGTGTGAATCAGCCCTTAATGCTTGGTTAGCTTTGTTAGAAGTCATTTTTGAGGTTTATTTATCCTATACCATGGGTCCAGGCAAAAAAACATATGCTGAAGGGGGTGTGGCCTAGTAAAACTGGGGACTCCGCTATCTGTTTAGCCATATTTAACACTTTACATTGTTCAGTGTCCATTCGGCCAACAGCCAGCTTTCTCTGACCTTCATATAGTAACTTTGCTAAAGGAGCAATCTATCACAAATCAATTTTCATGAATCTGCTTATATTTGTGACAAGGTATTCCCTGATTAGTCAGCACTTCCTTGGACTTGCACAGTGTACCATTTGGACATATTCAACAGAAGTGCCAAGGGCAGTGCACTCCAGTTTCCTGTAATCAATGAATCAGAAATCTGATTTAATTAGTGCCCTTACTACCTGAACAATGGGCAAAAAAAATATCCAGGTACATTTTAAAACAGTGACATTTTTAGCAATAGATTTAACTACTTTCATACTGGCTTCCTGTAATATCCTGCATAGCAGGATTCACATGGGCCAGCAGTGAAACATTAAATTGGCAGTCTGCACACAGTAAAAAAGCTTGATTGTCCCATAGTATATGAGTATTGAGTTCAAATTCAGAAGGTTCTGTCAGTAAAATTTTCCTCCAAAAGAGCTCTGGATATCGTGTGTTATGTTAGATGTCCTCATCATAGTGCCCCATATCAGGTGTTCACTTTACAAGGTCCCCTTACATCAGGTGTCACTCACAGAGCTGCTTAATATCAGATGTCCCCATCACTGTGGCCCCCCCTATATGTGTCCTTTTACATCAGGTGTTCCCATCACAGTGCCACCTTAACATCACATGTCCCCATTGCAGTTGAATGATGCTGGCCATCATTTAACCTGGAAGAATGAGGACATCAGGTGGCAGAAAAAAGTACTACAGGAGACATCTGCTGGTTATAGGTGATTTTTGCAGCAAAAGCTGCCTTTCTTATTGGATGGACCATTATTTTTTGTTTGACTTTAATCATGCATTATGCCTATGAAAGCTTACCTCTGGTTGTTACAAGCTACTGCTAAACACTGATTTCTTTTGTGCTGTATTGTAAAACATGTGTTTTGTTTTCCATGGTAAATGGCTATTTGGGAGTTACAACGAGCAAGCTGTATTTCCTGTAGGGATCAAAAGCTGCAAGCCATGCTGTCGTTTATTGTAACCATATGAGTCCTAAAATGTAGATTTTGTCCGATAAACAAGCCATGTTGTAATGTGTCCTGTACATGATGGGGAGGGATAGTTCACGTGTCAGTCCCAGCCCACTGCAAGCAGTTCATCTCCGCCTGTTCTTTCCGTCTGTTTTGTAATGAGTATGTCTGCTTATAGGAAATGCCAAAGATGGAAAAGGTTTGTTTTCAAGATTTAAAGTGGGGGGGGAAGTATTCAGCCAGATGCAAAAAGGGAGCCATCTTGGACTTCAGGAAACTTTATTAAAGAAGCACTTGACACCAGTTCACACCGCCCATTGCTATGCCTTATTGTAACACACATTAACTGGGTTGGCGCAATGCAGTGCTAATCATTCTGATTGGTACCCCAAAATATATGCAATAGACGTGCATTGTAGTGGAATGTGCAGCAATACATTACCATGGGTACCTTTTTGGTAGTGCACGTTAGTGCTTTTTTTTTCTGATTTTATGTATGGTGAATGGAGCAGTAGAATTTTTAGATTCCCTTATACAGCAGGAGGAGTAAGACTAATTAAGGAATTG